CTCACGATGAAGTTATGAAAGAGGTATCATCTTTGGTTACCCCAAATTTGAATTATGATTGCGTATCGCTTCGTTCTTTCAATACTTAACTAGTTTGGTTCTTGAATAGGTGAGAAGGCACTTTAGCCCTGAGCTGCTGAACCATCTCGATGAGATTGTTGTATTTGACCCTCTCTCTCGCGATCAACTGAGGAAGGTTGCCAGATTGCAAATGAAAGATGTTGCAGCCCGACTGGCCGAGAAGGGCATTGCTATGGCAGTCACCGATGCAGCGTTGGATTACATTCTGGGCGAGAGTTATGATCCCGTGAGTATCGGTTTTACGAATCCAAAAATATTTTCTCTGCATTCTCCTGTGTGATATGAAACACTAAACAAGTACTCTTTTTTCGTTTTCAGGTTTACGGTGCCAGACCTATTAGGAGATGGCTGGAGAAGAAGGTGGTGAAGGAGTTGTCGCGGATGCTTGTGCGAGAAGAAATAGATGAAAACTCGACCGTGTTCATAGATGCAGCGCCAAGCGGAAGCGGGCTTGTGTACAGGGTTGAGAAGAACGGAGGGCTTGTGGATGCGGCGATGGGGCAGAAGTCGGATGCGATGCCGATCAGGCTGTGAAGAAGATGAAGATTGAGGAAATGGATGAGTAAAATAGGTTGTGAACTTGTAAGGAAACTGTTGTGTTTTCTGCAGCGTCTGTAATGATGTTCAAACTGTTTAAACTGTGTTTTTTGAGTCTTATTTCTCTTGTACCGGGTTGCTTTGTATAATTAAAAGTCCTTTGTAATATGCTTCGGTGTATCTTATTGTTTATCCTGATTAAAGATCTAACGGTTAAAATCTCGCTTATAACTGCTAAAAGTTCAGTTTTAACGGCTAAAATTTGTGTGCGTGATTTATCGGAACATGCTAAATTTTCTGTTACACTATGTTTGGATGAGGAAAATAAACTTGAAATTTAGATAAAAGTCAGAATTTATAAATTGACATACACCAATTTCTCTGTTTGGATTCATAAATATAGAAATTTAGAATTTCCGTGTGGAAAAGAACTTGGAATTTGGGACCTCTAATTTCCAAGTTTAAATTTCATGTAAATAGGTGTCATTTCCCAATTTCTATGGTTGAGAGCTTAAAAATAACAAATTTCGTATTCAACTCCCTTTATGTTTTTAGATTAATCAAACAAGAAAATTCACAAATTCTAGAAAATAAAATCTCGTCATTTCAATTTCTGTCATTTTAAAATTTCTTAGTAATCTTAAATTTCTTCATCCAAACATAGTGTTACATTACATGTAGGCCTGGCAAACGGGTCGTGTCAGTCGTGTTCGTGTCGTTTTCGTGTAACACCTGTTATCTTAACGGGTCGTGTCGTGTCACACCCGTTATGACCCGTTAAGAAAAATATATTTTTTTTCTTAAATTTGCACATACCACACATTGCCACATAAATATTACTTCAAAACATTAAAATACATTTGTTGTTTAAGTACTACATCTACACTCGAAAATAAGAGCCTAATAAAAAAATAATACATACACTACTAATCTATTACAAATTTTAAATGTGCAAGGATATGCAAAATGAAACAGTTTTTGTTTTCAAGGTTGTGAAATCTTTCTCAAAAGTTTAAACCTCAATTTACAAAATCCTCGATTTACATTGATCATCATGAAATTGCATTGGAACTTTGGCTTGATCTATTGCCTTCAAGAGTTATGTTGATGATGTTTTCAGTAAGGTTTTCCACGTCATAACTCTCTTCTGCATAAACTAAGCATAGAAAAACCAAACATTAAAAATCATTCAAATTATGAGAAGTTTACCAAAATAATTATGAAAAAAAAATAAAACAATAGTACTATACCATACTTTTATTAAGTATAAACATAAGATTTTGTGGTATCCACTAGTGTAAATATTTTAAATTGAAGATCGAATTCAATCATTGTATTCATATAAGGTCAATGAGTGTAGTTGTAAACAATCATCAAAATCGGAGTTAAATTAACCGTTAAATCGTGATTTTTCGTTTATAACCGTCGAAAAGTTTTGTCCCGTTACTTGCTCTCTGAATGTTTGTTTTTTGCAATTTTTGGCGTATGCGATCTCGAAACATATACAAACATGTTTGACGGTTGGATCATTGAAACTAGTTTCGTAGAATGAGTATCCCATCAAAACAATAGATTCACTAATATTTAAGAGTTTATTCATACTTTTATTAAGTATAACATAAGATTTTGTGGTATCCACTAGTGTAAATATTTTAAATTGAAGATCGAATTAAATCATTGTATTCATATAGGGTCAAGGAGTGTAGTTGTAAAAAATCATCAAAATCGGAGTTAAAATGACCGTTAAATCATGATTTTTCGTTTATAACCGTCGAAAACTTTTGTCCCGTTACTTGCTCTCTGAATGTTTGTTTTTTGTAATTTTTGACGTATGCGATCTCGAAGTATATACAAACATGTTTGACGGTTGGATCTTTGAAACTAGTTTCGTAGAATGAGTATCCCATCAAAACAATAGATTCACTAATACTTAATAGTTTATTCATACTTTTATTAAGTATAATATAAGATTTTGTGGTATCCACTAGTGTAAATATTTTAAATTGAAGATCCAATTCAATCATTGTATTCATATAAGGTCAAGGAGTGTAGCTGCAAAAAATCATCAAAATTAGAGTTAAAATGACCGTTAAATCGTGATTTTTCTTTTTATAACCGTCGAAAAGTTTTGTCCCGTTAATTGATCTCTGAATGTTTGTTTTTTGTAATTTTTGACGTATGCGATCTCGAAGTATACACAAACATGTTTGACGGTTGGATCTTTGAAACTAGTTTCGTAGAATGAGTATCCCATCAAAACAATAGATTCACTAATACTTAATAGTTTATTTCATACTTTTATTAAGTATAACATAAGATTTTGTGGTATCCACTAGTGTAAATATTTTAAATTGAAGATCGAATTAAATCATTGTATTCATATAAGGTCAAGGAGTTTAGCTACAAAAAATCATCAAAATCAGAGTTAAAATGACCGTTAAATCATGATTTTTCTTTTTATAACCGTCAAAATGTTTTGTCCCGTTAATTGATCTCTGAATGTTTGTTTTTTGTAATTTTTGACGTATGCGATCTCGAAGTATATACAAACATGTTTGACGGTTGGATCTTTGAAACTAGTTTCGTAGAATGAGTATCCCATCAAAACAATAGATTCTCTAATACTTAATAGTTTATTCATACTTTTATTAAGCATAACATAAGATTTTGTGGTATCCACTAGTGTAAATATTTTAAATTGAAGATCGAATTCATTACTTGTATTCATATAGGGTCAAGGAGTGTAGTTGTCAAAAATCATCAAAATCGGAGTTAAAATAACCGTTAAATCGTGATTTTTCGTTTATAACCGTCGAAAAGTTTTGTCCCGTTACTTGATCTCTAAATGTTTTTTTTTGCAATTTTTGGCGTATGCGATCTCGAAGTATATACAAACATGTTTGACGGTTGGATCATTGAAACTAGTTTTGTAGAATGAGTATCCCATCAAAACAATAGATTCACTAATACTTAAGAGTTTATTCATACTTTTATTAAGTATAACATAAGATCCACTAGTGTAAATATTTTAAATTGAAGATCGAATTCAATCATTGTATTCATATAGGGTCAAGGAGTGTGGTTGTAAAAAATCATCAAAATCGGAGTTAAAATGACCGTTAAATCGTGATTTTTCGTTTATAACCGTCGAAAAGTTTTGTCCCGTTACTTGATCTCTAAATGTTTTTTTTTGCAATTTTTGGCGTATGCGATCTCGAAGTATATACAAACATGTTTGACGGTTGGATCATTGAAACTAGTTTTGTAGAATGAGTATCCCATCAAAACAATAGATTCACTAATACTTAAAAGTTTATTCATACTTTTATTAAGTATAACATAAGATCCACTAGTGTAAATATTTTAAATTGAAGATCGAATTCAATCATTGTATTCATATAGGGTCAAGGAGTGTGGTTGTAAAAAATCATCAAAATCGGAGTTAAAATGACCGTTAAATCGTGATTTTTCGTTTATAACCGTCGAAAAGTTTTGTCCCGTTACTTGGTCTCTGAATGTTTTTTTTTGCAATTTTTGACGTATGAGATCTCGAAGTATATACAAACATGTTTGACGGTTGGATCGTTGAAATTAATTTCGTATAATTCGTATCCCATGAAGTTCAATGGTGTGTGTGTGGGTGTATATGTATTTATTTATTAAGTAGATTTAAATCTATTTATTTTGTATGTATAATTATTATAGTTTTTAGGGGTATAAAATTTAATATATATATATATAATTATTATAGTTAATATTTTGGGTATAATTATTATAGTTAATTTAATATATATATATAATTATTATAGTTTTTAGGGGTATAAAATTGTTAAATTAATATATATATATATATATATATATATTATTATAGTATTTTTTTAGGGTTATAAATTATTAAATTAATATTCTACTTATCGTGTATCGTGTTACCCACGTGTATACCCGAACAAACCCGTTATCTTAACAGGTGCTTATCGGGTTACCCGATAACGACCCGTTTCGTTATCGTGTCGACCCGAACACCTGTTAATTTCGTGTCGTGTCGTGTCAGGTTATCGGGTCGTGTCAGGAATTGCCAGGCCTAATTACATGCAGTCCACTGCCTTTTTTATTGCTGGATTTGATGTAAATTATATAGCTCCAAAAATACTCCGCCCTTAAATTTGATAAAAATTATATTGCTCTCTTACTAAGATTGAGACCTCAATATAATGGAGGTTAGCTGCTCTTTACGCAACCAAGTTCATCAAGAGTATCGACAATATCAACAAATGACCCATTAACGATACATCATCTTATAAATTTAAGAATGTACGTTCGTATGTATACTTAATAAAATTAAAATAAATGAATTTTGTTTTGAAGGGCAACGGTAGAGTGACTTCATTCATAAGAACCGAACAATACAGGAGAGAAGAACCGAACAATACAAGAGGGTGCCATATTAGGTACATATTCTCCAGTGATCAAATCTAATGCAAAGACGATAATGACATCAAATTTGGTACGCAATGTCCACACAAAGCCGTCGCTCAAACAAGCGAGGCCACAACAAGTTGTCGAAGCAATCACAAAACAATAAAATTATTTAATCCAAGAATACAACCACAAATCAGCTCGTCTTCATAGCAAGGGCAACACCGCCGCTAGACAGATCTGTTGCCTACATCGAAAATACACCACAGGTGTGGCCTAGTAAGGCGGCTCAGCCGCGGGCAAGTCGGGAGCGCACAACCATCATGGAAGACGAGTTGTAGGAAGTGAATTCGACCCACTCCAACGATAAATATTGCCCACAACCACGAATCAAGGCCAAATTCGAAGCCCTGCCCAAATGAATTTTGTTTCCATCCACGTGATACAGCTTTAAGGTTGAAGGCATCCATATATAGTTGAAGTCAAGTTCCATTTCTACGTGTTCAGGGTGGAACCACATTACAAAAGTAATTATGCGCGCGCACACACATATATATATATATATATATATATATATATATATAAATGTATGTATACATACGTGTACATGAGCTTTCTGAATGTTTTGTCCTAAAGTCTGTAGTGAGGCCTATGTTTGGATGCCTCCAACCCTAGCAAGGATGTCCCAAATGATGTTCATATTTGCACATCCTACCCCACCTCCTCCTCACGTCCACTAAATTCCTTTTCAGTCCCACCAAAGCATCAAGCCTGAGAAGAATAGGGTTAGGAGAGAAGAAAACAAGCTAGTAGTGTCAACAGGTCTAATCACACCGCTGTCGTCCGTGTTGATGCCAGCTCCCGATGGCCCTATTCCCATGCCAGTGCCTCCTAGTACTCCAGGAGTTGCCGTGTATGGGGTGGCGCCTGTAGGTGTTGTGCCGGTGGTAGGGGTAGTGCCAGTGGTAGAGGTTGTGCCAGTGGTAGGGGTTGTGCCGGTGGTAGGGGTAGTTCCGGTGCTTGGGGTTGTGCCGGTTCCAGTAGATGGTGTTGTCGGAGTTGTGCCTGAGGAGCTGAAGGACAAAGAAAAGCAATATTTAACACACCAAACACAACAAATAGAAATGCCAGAATCGAAGCTGCACGCACACGATCATGTGAAGCATACAGAATGAGAGAATACGAAATAACTCATGGAAGATAAACAAGTAATAATTTTACACGAAAATTTACAATGCCATATGGTTATGCAGTGCCTGAACAGAGACCGTGCAGCATAAAGCTCATCGGAGATCCTACACAGCACTCTTCCGGATAGATAATCTCCATCATATGAAATTGGATGTAAAGGAACAAGCATGTTATTGCAAAAGCAGTCAACCTTAAGAGATGCTGGTAAAGCAAGCTTTAATCTTTATTCAAAAACTAGTTCACAGAGATGAATAACTATTCAAAGTTGCATTCAATAACGAAGACAACAACAACAATAAAGCCTTATTCCACTAAATGGGGTTGGCTGTATGAATCCTAGAACGCCAATGAACTTTTTATGCCATGCTACACTGTCATGACCCAAGAAAACATAATATATTCCCAGATCATATTTAGGCATGTACAATCATATAAGCTCATTTAAACTTATGCCTGATCAACAAAACTATGCTGACTGACACGCCTAGAAGTATGTCGCTTTGACGTCATTGACTCCTTATTTTCCTTGTTCGGAAGAAAACTATGACTCACTTGAGATTTTCACATAAACATACGCCGTTTCAGCAAAATGTGATCCTCCATTGAAGATCAGTCACTTACCTCGGATTCAAAGGCTATTGATTTCCTATTCCGTTGAAGTACTTTGTTTAGGAGAGATTTTTCAGCATGCCGAGAACACAGGCCCGATACGCCAGGCCCGATACGCCAAGTATCACAATACAAGTAGTTGGACATTTACGAAAAATAACTTTCCCTCCACTTGTATTATGACACTTGATATATCATACTGTCTTCCCAGCCAATTGAAATATTTCTCCTAAACATTGTTTGAGAGGGGATAATTATTAATTAACCACTAATATAAATATGGTAGGCCCCATCTGCATACTGCGTCCAAATCCACTAATGTATGAGAGGAGGGAGCACACTATTTTAAACAAAAGCAGTTAAAGTACATTAGCACCAAAGATTCAAAGGCCTTTCCGGAAAGCTTTTGAATTAAAAAATTACCTAAAGTACTAATTAAAAATGTTTGAAATATTTTACAGTTGAATGAGATGGATCAAATGTAGAGCATCATAAACCTGGTAAAAAGTTTAAAGCAAAAGGAGAGAAATAAGGAACAATAATACATGCGTCATCTAGAATGCCACCAATAATACAATGCCGCGTGAGGAAGTTAAAACACTCGGCACTATATTTCTGTTGGCGTCCCAGACGGCCATGCACGTGTTGCGGATAAGATTCATAAAACTCATGCACAATTGTTCCTAATTTCTTTTCTAAAAAAATTAAAACACATGATATTGCAATGCATTGCATTATTAGTCCGAGACGCCGCATCCAGAGCTTATTAGGCAAATTTAAACCATGGTGGAGAGGGGATTAAAAAGGCACGGCCGGCGAGAATACAAAACTTCAGAAAAGAAGGCTCAAATCTCCAAAAGAATGAGCATCCCAAAGCATATACGAGGACAAAAGCTCTTTTACCACAGATGTATGTGGCCACTACTTTTGAATTTTTGACTCTGATCAGACAATGTATTGCATAACGTGAAAAATGCAGTGTACGGCGCCTGAAGCCAAAAAGGTAACGTCTTTGTTTGCCATGGGCAAGATGGTAATTCTGTGACATCTTTTTTTACCCCTTTTACCTTTATTTTCAACAAGATTAAACCTTTTCTCCCCTTTGTGGGGTAAAAAAAAGCATTGGATGCCCAATTATTTGGAAAAATTTACTGAGCTCCACTACCAAAATATGGGCAATGAGCCATGAATCATAATGCAAATTACAATACTAGTCAAACCATAAAAAGACTCAATTAGACTGAACAAAGCAAAATGAAAAAGGAGGGTGTTGGATAATAATTATAAGGTATATTGAAAGGAAAATGATTTCCGCACCTCAATTATTCTTCTTATGCACACACTTGTATCTATTTTACGCCTTTGAATGAAATAAAGCAAACGAAAATCAGGACACGGAGTGAAGAAGAAGAAAAAATTCGTGAAGAAATCATTTTTATGATGAATGTATTAAAATAAAAATAGTGATTAGTTCAAAAACGCATCCTTTTTTCAATGATAAAGGCATAGGCAATGATGCCTATTGGTCCCTTTCCAACAATGCAACGGCACTAACAAAAAAAAAACTGAAAACTTTAAGTTTTAACAATAAAAATAAAATAAAAAATAAAATAAATAGTATCATATTTGACTTTTTAATGTAAAAATATGATTTTTCGTTAAAATAAATTATATCACGAGCTTTTCGTTAAAACTTCTTTAAAAATTGGATGATATAAATAATTAGAATTTTTTTATAAAATGACACTAGGTGTATGAGATCATGTTCCCGATACTGAAAATTTTCTCCTTCAGTTAATGGAATGTAACAAGACAGCAGAATAAAATATTAACCCAAGTTTTTTACAGTCATATAACTAAGAGGAGTAGGGTAACTCTTTGTCCCATCAAGTCATATTTTGTCTTTTAATAAAAGTGCTTTTTGCTACAGTTCTACTTATGTTTTATAATCAAGTGTTTCTGCCCTACCCTAAAATTTGAAATCCAGAGAGTAAGTACTGTGGACTGTGGAGTGTCGGACATCAAATTGATGGAGGACGATTCTCTCACTCCTATTTCCATCAACTTCCCTCTCCTCCTCACATAATATTTTTATTTTATTATTTTTATAAAAAAAATTAATATAAGATGTTAACGTGATGAACTGTAACCGTTTAAATACAAGAAAAGGAAAGGAAAAAAGATTAGGAGGGAAAAGAATTCCCCTCCCAAATTGAAGACATTCAAAAGATTAAAGCAGCACTAAATACTAATTAACAAAAATAAATATACAAAAATAAAATAAAACCCTTGAAAAACAGAAGGAAAAAAAAATTGGTGCAAATTAACCATACCTGGCACTGGCAGGGTAGGTACAACCATTTGAGCCTGTAAAAACACCATGAAATTAAAAAAAGTTACCACCTTTAATCTTTAATCTAATTAATTTATACGCAAAAAAATCAACCAAAAAGCCAATAAAATTAAACCCAAAAGAGAAGGATTTAGGGACTTACTTGGATCGGAGGTAGTAGGGGTTGCAGCGCCAGAAAAGTCACAAGTACCGGTGGATTGGCCCTTCTTCTGGAAGTAGCTGTTGACGGCGTAGCTGCAGTGAGCTTTGATAGTGTTGGGGTTGTAGCAAACTCCATTGGGTTTTATGGGGTTGCAATCTGCCCCGGCTCCACAGGCATAGTCCAATGCCTTCTGCAGGGCTGCAGGGTCTCCATCTTTGCAAACACACCAGTTTGCTCCTACACAAATACAATTCCCAGAAATAAATAAATCAGACTCTCAAAATATTAAAAGGGGTGAGTTTATATATGGCAGGAAGACCAAAGACCAGATCTTTTTTTCTTTTTATTTGAAACCCCAAAAATGCAAACTTTAAGAGAAATATGAAATCTTTTAACATAAATACAAGTTAGAAATTAGAAACAAACAAGGAAAAATGAACGCATTACTAGTAAGGAAAAATGGCATTTAAAAAAAATTAAAATAGTTTATTGGCTTCATTAGATATAGGAAATATGGTATAGAGAAAAAAACACCCATTTCACCAAAAGAAAAATATGGAAAATACATAAATGTGTTCTTACTTGACTGGCCAGCCATGGCTAAGAGAAGCAGAGCTGCAATAGCAAGGGCAGCCATGGTTGAAGAGAGAGAGAGAGAGAGAGAGAGAGTAGTGTGTGGTAAGTTAACAGTGGAGCTCAGAGCAAACTAGCTACTTATGAAGTTAGAGAGAGAAAGGGAAAGAGAGAGGCAAGGAGAAGTCGGATGACATTGTGTGAGAAAAAAGATGAAACATGGGTAGATCTCTAGAAACACAAAAACCAAAATATAAAAAATAAAAAAGGAAAAAACTTGGTGATGTTGACGGTGCGGTGAAAGTGGCTCTCTGTGTCTAGTGTTGGCTTGCCGGAGAGATTTTAATGAAAATTTATATTTTTATATTAAAACATTAATGATGAGATTATTTATTTTATCTTTTATTCTATGTTAAAATTCAAAATTTTCAAATTATTTTCATTATTTTTTTTTTCTCCATCTCACTATGTTAACAGTTTTTTTTATTCTTATTTTTAAGGGTGTGTTATCCATATATTCCAAATTACTTCTCACACACCTTTTGTTAATTTTTGTCCGTTGATCGTCTTTAATTCATCCAATTCGACAGCAAAAAATTAGAAAGATGTGTGAGAAGTAAAATGAGATGTGTGGATATCACACCTTTACTTTTAATTACGCCTCTTCGATCTATTTTAATTTTAATTTTTTATTGTAACTCAAAATTTGTTATTTTATTCTTTTAAAACTTAAATTCATTTCACTTCGTATCCTAGAATTCGATTTTAATTCTAGTTTATTTCTTGTAAATTGAAATTCATCTTTATAAAATTTAAAATTCGCTACATATTACATTAGATATGTTAGTTTCTTATATAGGTTTGATTTGGGTGTGCCGGACGAATCAATTTCCTTTAGTTTTTTCATCTCTTCAATTTCTTTTAAACTTAATATTATCTAATTATTGAATATTTACGCATAATCAATTTTATTGCACATCTGCCATGGTCTTATTGAATGTTGGCTCACATATATGTTTTAAAATGCGATCTATAAGTTTTATGGAGAAAAGAGAGTCAACAAGTCAAAGTGGTAGCATTTAAGTTACAAGGTAAAGTGAAATTAAAATGGAGTTCTAAATACCGTAGCTAAAACTAAACTTTTTTTACCGACGCAACTTATCTTAAGGTTTATATGTCACTGTGTCGTTCTGTTCTAAACTATATGTAATTGTAACAAAGTCAACTATTTTTACCCACTGTCAAAATACAAACATCATTCATTTCTTGGTCATCATTATACATCATCTTTTTGTAACGTAGTGATGTGGTGTGGACCATCTCATTCATGTCTCACGTCGGTTGCTTACTAATGTTTTTGACAGGTTAGACCATCTCTAAAAAGATATCAACATAAAATTTAAATTTAACAACTTATGTGGCATTTTGATATATTTTCATATTTCGTTCCCTCCTGATACGTCAAATTAAACAATTATTTTATTACATTATTTTGTGTTCTTAATTTCTGAACCGAAAAACTTTCAACTTTCTTCATCGCCGACGATCCTCTGCCTCTGTAAAAACGAAAAGGTACGAACTTTAGGGTTTAATTCTTAAGAAGTCAAACAAAATTAAACGAAAATCTAAAAATGACGACATGCTGAAAAAATCGAGTGGGAAATTAACAGTGGCGGTCCAATTCTAGCGAAGAATCGGTGGCTGTGGTCCCCGAACGACGTCGTTGGGTTCACCGAAGAATTGGAAGTTGAGATTGAAAGGACGGGGGAGGCGGCGAGCTCGAACCGAGCAGTTCCATTCCTTAGCTGCTCGAGAATTGACTATGCCATGGAGAAAGCTGCTCGGGGACGACGACCGTGGATGGAGGTGAAGGCTGATCCCAGGAGGCCTTCGTTCTCTAATCTCTATCGCAACTCTAACATTGATTAAAAAAAAAAAAAAGGCAGGATATGAACAGACTGCCAAACTAATTGAAAAAAAATTAATAATTAATTAAAAAATATTTGAAGCTGCCTTTTTTTTGCCATTCCATTCCATTCCATATCATGCCATATAGAATTTCGCATTTCGGTTGAAAACATTAGTGGCTTTCTTTTTGCACTGTTAGGATGCGTTTGTTGCACCGGACTGTTTCGGATTGGACTAACTTCAGGGATTAAGCTGGATTGGTTTAGACTAGACTAAGCTGTACTGATTTAGTGAAGCATTTGGTACAGCGTCGGACTAAGAAGCAGGATTGCAATATTATATTATTTTATATTAATTAATATTTTATTATTACTTTATCTTTATCTTTTTTATCTTTTTCTAGAATCATCCTTCTCCAATATCTGTAACCTTCATTTTTCACTCCACCTCTCCATCTCTCTTTCCCTTTTTTCCCATTTTTGTCTCTTCGCCTCTCCCTCCTATTTCCCCTTTCTCCCCATTTTTGCCCCACCTTTTTTTCGGGGTCATGTTTTGCAGAAAAACATGATCTTTGAGAGACCCACAGGAGGGAAAGAGAGAGATATCGAAATCAAGGGTTGCTTTCGTGCATGTTTTGGTTCCTCCAAAAACAAAAAACGCAGGAGTAATACGATGTCCTCTGTGAGTCTGTTCTTGCATCTTTGAGAGACCCATAGGCAGTGTCTCACTCCCCTCTTCTTTTTTTTCTCTCACTTCACCTATGTGCTCCCCCATCGCTCTCTTTGTATTTCTTTTTTCTTCAGATTTGGTACCTGTATTTTCTGGGAAAATCATAGTTTGGTCAAGAAAAATCACTTAAAGTTACTACACTCATGCTAAAGTTTTCAATCTTGTTGTTGGCGGAAGAATTTGGGTCACCATGAGACCCGTTTTTGCCGTCGTTCGGGTCGACCCAGATGGCAAAAAACCTCAAATCACCGACCCATATGCCAAAAGGGTGCTAGGTTTACCGGACGACGGAGATCGGCGACAGTCGTTTCTGGTTTGGTCAGTGGAGAAGGGAGGGTTGATGCTGCTCATGCGGGTTTTAGCGACGCTACTTGCAGAAAATGGAGACGGGACTAGCAATCCCGTAGTTGTTGGGGATCCTCGTTAAGAACTCGTAGCGAAGTGTATAATCCAAGCGAGTCCGACCTAAGCTCATTAAATCTAATCCTGGTGCAGACCAAACAAGGGACTACAGTCCAGTCCAGTCCCCTATAATCCGGTCAAACAAACGAGCCCTTATAGCGTATGTGGATATTTTGACATCTCATTTGAAGATGCTCTTAGGGGATAACAGATTTGAGGATCTCGAAGACAGTGGATGCATCAAGATGAATACAGACGCTAGGTGCTAATTTGGCGACGTCGTTGGGTTCACCGGAGAATTGGAAGTTGAGATTGAAAGGATGGCGGAGGCGGCGAGCTCAAACCGAGCAGTTCCATTCCTTAGTTGCTCGAGAATTGACTCTGCCATGGAGAAAGCTGCTCGGGGACGACGATCGTGGATGGATGTGAAGGCTGATCCCATGAGGGCTTCGTTCTCTAATCTCTATCGCAACTCTAACATTGATTAAAAAAGAAAAGAAAAAAGAGAGAGGCAGGATATGAACAGACTGCCATTAAACTAATTGAAAAACATTTAATAATTAATTAAAAAATATTTTGAAGCTGCTGCTTTGCTGCCATTCCATGTCATGCCACATAGGATTTGGCATTTCGGTTGGAAGCATTAGTTGCTGTCTTTTTGTACTGTTATGGCTTATGTGGACATTTTGACATCTCATTTGAAGATGCTCTTAGCGCATAACAGATTTGAGGATCTCGAAGACAGTGGATGCATCAAGATGTATAAAGACGCTAGGTGCTAATTGGGCGACGGGTTAGGGCTAGCTCCTAGGCGGAGGCTTAAGCAGACTAGACGGATTTAGATAAATTTATTATATTTTGTATAATAACTACCTTAATATACTAAAAAAAAGATACATAATAAGCTGCCAATTTTATTTCTAAACTTTAATTTTAGCTCATTACACCATTGAAAATTTATAATTAATAGTTTATTCTCGAACTTTAGTTTTAACTGATCACATGTTCAACATTTATAATTGGCCTATTATAAAAGTTAAAAGATGAATCTGGCTAGTTATAAAAGTTCAGGGAAAAATCCTATTTTGTTCACAAGATTAACAAAATTGATCATTTTGGGCAATTTCCCTAAAATTTCTAGATGGTCTGTAATTTTCATTTTTGTTTCAAAGTAACGGAGTTATTTAACAGAACAATAAACCCCGAAATACTATTGACGGCTTTCCTTCCCGAAACTTGTATGGAGCTGCCAATTTTCTCTCTAAACTTTAATTTTAGCTCATTACCCCGGTGGACTTTTATAATTGGTTAGTTTCTCCCTAAACTTTAGTTTTAATTGAACTCTCTCAACTTTTATACTGGGTTAATTCCCCCCTAAATCCTAAACACTAAAAGTGAACCAAAAAGTGTACGGAGTGAACCAGTGGGAAAGAAGAAGAATGAAAAAAAAAAAATGTGTTGGTCACATTAAGGATAAATTTATATTTTTACAATTATAAAATTAAAGTTTACGATAAAATTGGTCAATTATAAAAGTTAAAAGATAAGATTGACTAGTTATAAAAGTTCAAGAGAAATTGGCAGCTCCTTACGAATTCAAGGGATCGACAAGTACCTCAAACAATTATACTATTCCATATTCCGAGAATTAAAATAAGTGCGGTATGACTATTTTGGAGTGCTATTAGGTACAAAACGGCGATTAACACCCTAATCATTTTATACAGGAATCTCTGCCTACTTTACTCGCAAAACTCAACATTTATCTGTTCAAGTTATTTACAAAGTATACAAAAGGCCAGCCTTCTTTCTGCTGAACTTACACATTCACAAGTTACCGATGGTCCGACGGACTAATCCCAATCGGCGTCAAAGAATCCAGCATCCTTCATCTCGGAGTAATACGCGTTCTCCAGGAGAAAACTTTCTTCCTGTAAACATCACAACGTAGGTTTGCAATTGCACGATAATTACTTACGGCACAAGTTATTGAAAACCCGGAAATGCTGTTTAACCATTATTGAGAAGAATGATCGCCTGGAAAAAATCGGCTACAAAAATCATGTACAGAGAAGGAAGATAGAGTGTGTGGTAGCATATATCTGTCAAATTGTACAACCTGCAGGATATGCACCAATTCAAAGTTGAAATTGCAAGAATTTGAGCTAATGAAT